GCAGCAGAGACAACAACGACAGCAGGAGAGACAACATCGGCAGCAGCAGGAACAACGACACCAGTCATCGTCGACGAAGCACCACCAACTCCCGCACAGCAGCTGACCCCGACTCAACGAGAATTCCACCGAAGCGCCAAATTCGTCGCCAGCTTCTACTCCAACTCCGACGCGTATCAACGCTCACCCGGACATCTCGCCCCTGAAGACATCTGGCACGCACGCACAGGACATCCAAGCAATACAGTGCTAAATAACACAATACGAGCAAGAGTCCTAGACAAGGACTCACTACTACTACCTGACGGCAGAGAACTTCAACGTGCACGAGGGACTTGCCTCATCTGCCCCGAAGCCGACTTACCACATCGACCGTTTTCTTCTCACCACAACCCGAGCGCACCTGCATACGCACCACTCAAAAAAGTATACAGCGACATCCTCTTCAATCGAGAACCAGGACAAGTCACCTACAATTACACGATCACCTTCATCGACGCCGCCACTCGATATGTCTGGCATCGAACCCTACCCAGCCGCGACATGGCACTCGCAGCGTTCGCCGCCTGGCTACCGATAGCAGAGAGGGAATCAGGAACACAGCTGAAAAGCTTCCAGTCAGACGGAGGTGGCGAATACACCTCTCAGCGCTTCAAGCAGTACCTGGCGGAAAGGGGAATCAAGCAACTCCTCTCCCTTCCCTACGCCCATCAGCAGCAAGGTGTGGCAGAAAGAATGAACAGGACTCTACCAAATAGCATGCGCAAGCTGCTACGTGGCATGCGGCTACCCAATCACCAGTGGCCAGCAGCAATGGACCATGTTGTCATGCTGCACAACTTGCTGTCGTCGTCGTCACTCCCGAACAACGCCTCACCGCATCTGCTTTGGACAGGAAAGCTGGGCAGCACAAAAATGTTACGAGTTTTCGGGTGCATGATACAGTACCGACCCCCAGAAGCACGAGCGGGAAGATTTTCGCAACGGGCACAGTGGGGACTACACCTCGGCATCGAGAAAAATTGCAACGCGTGGAAAATCTTCGATGTCCACTCAAAGGAAACAGTAGCAGCACGTGATGTGATCTTCTACGAGCGACTCACCCTTCAAACGTACCCCGCCAACTTGCACGAGAATCAGGACCCCACAGGTGGCTTTCGTGGTGACCGAGCCTTCGCCTCAGCAGCGGACGAAGCAGACTGGGATGAACAAAACGTAGACAACGCATCGGAAGAAGCCGGACCTCTCCCGTTCTGCTCCGTCGACGTGCCCATGGACGAAGAAAATCCTCGCGACAGTGTCAACGCCGAAGTCTTCTACCACTTCGCCGACAACGGTTACGTAACACCTGCGACAGTCAACACAAACGAAGCAGAAAGTATAGGGCCACATTTCATACCCGATCCAGAAGCGGGAGACGAAGCAGCTTATCCCGAGGACCCAACACTCCCACGATACTCACAGACTGGACTGCAAATCCTTGGTCTCGTCACCGCAGTCCACGGCAACGCACTTCCTAACGAGCCTGGGACAGTTCAGCAGGCTCTGGGGGGGGAACACAGGGAGAAATGGCGTGAAGCCATGGACAGAGAATTGAAGGCATTAGAGGAACGCAACACTTGATAGGTCGTTCCCGCAAGCGTGGCACGGAACAAGACCATTCTCACCGGGAAATGGGTTTTCCGCATCAAAACGAAAGCCGACGGCACAATCGAGAAGTTCAAAGCACGCTGGGTCGTGCGTGGATTCGACGAGGAGCAAGGATGAGACTTCACCGAGACTTTCGCCCCAGTTAGTCGACATACCTCTCTCCGAATTCTTCTCGCCGTCGCCGCCATGAAGAAGAAGAAGCTGCGACAAATTGACGTCGCCAACGCATTCCTCTACGCACCCGTCGACGCCGAAATCTTCGTCGAACTCCCCCACGGTACCCACGGAAACCCCAATCAGGTCTGCCAACTACTGAAATCGCTCTACGGAATCAAACAAGCTCCTCGACTGTGGCAACAGCACCTACACACCCGCCTCACTCGCATCGGATTCCGCCAACTGCCTCAGGACCAAGGAAAGTATCGTCTCACCAAAGGCGCAGACTACATCCTACTGATCGTCTATGTCGACGACTTGCTCTACATCGGCTCCACCAACGACGTCACCACCTGGTTCGAAGGGGAGCTGCAAAAGGACCTCACGCTCACGGTTTCTCCTACCGTCACGCAGTACCTCGGGCTCAACATCCGCGAAGAAGAAAATGCGATCTATCTAAGCGCCGAGAAATACACCGACATGATCGCCAAGCGTTTTTCGCTCACACCTACCGCTATCGCCACGCCATACCGCTACACGGCAGGAAGTGACAAAGGAAACTCCGCTCCACTCAAAACTACCGGAATACAAGACTACCAGAGGAAACTGGGCTGCCTCCTCTTCGCAGCCGTCACCTGTCGCCCGGATCTATCCTACTCCGCAAGCCAACTCGCCACCTATCTCAAGAAACCCGAAGCAGAGCACCTGGCGGAGCTCGATCGCGCACTACACTACTTCGTGAGCACACCGACGATCGGCCTGACTTACTACAAGGGCGAAGCTACGACGACGAAACTAATCGGCTACGTCGATGCTGACCATGCCGGCGATTCTGATAACAGGCGCTCTCGCACTGGCTACGTCTATCGTCTCGAGCCTATCGGACCTATCTCCTGGCAGTCGAGTAAGCAGGAACTAATCGCTCTCTCTTCAGCTGAAGCAGAACATATCGCCCTCTGTTCAGCCACCAAGGAAGGACTCTACCTTCGCGAGCTGCTGGAAGAAGCAAAGTTAGCTGAGTTACCCAACTTCACCCTGTTCTGCGACAACCAATCTGCAATTCGCATCGCCAACAAAAGCGGATTCGCAAACAGAACGAAGCATATCGCCCTGCGATACTTCTTCGTGAAGGACGAGATCGAGAAAGGGAAACTAATATTATCCTACTGTCCCACGTCCGAGATGGCAGCCGATTATTTGACCAAGAAACTCGGAAAACAGAAGTTCGAACACTGCATGCTGCTGACTGGACAAGGCCACGTCACCATCAGCGACACTCCAGAAGCGAAGGGGAGTGTTGGGAATAATAAGTCTTAAGCGCCTCTGTCGTGTCGAAACTCAGGACACTAGTGAAACAGTCCGAATCGAAGTATCGCGAGTCAACCCTCGGAGGTTAGGGTAACCGCCTGGAGGTTACGCGAAGGTCAAAGGTCAGCGACCTTTGAGTTGACAAATACAGCGCGACAGCAAGGACACACAACTGACTCGACATTGAGCAGTTGCCCGAGTCGCACTGTATCGAATCGCAACAGTAAAACGGTTTAAACTTATCTATTCGTATTCCTTGTACTCTTATATAAACCTTTGTATTTGCTTGCTTAATTAACTTACTTTGCCCTCACATATTAGCGCAAGGTGGTTCAAGGACTTTCATTCAAACGCTTCCGCTATTACAATCCTACTCAGACTTAAAGCTCTACAAAGATCCTAGGGCACCTCAGCCCAACAACGTTGTGATCCACCTTGAGCTTGATTTGCTTCTCTTAACTGGTCTTGTGACCCCTTGTTCTCCCCCACTTTGCCTATGGGGGTGTGTCAAAGTATATGCATGTTATATGTATGTATACTGTACTGGGGTAGCCAATATTGGGTACAGCCCTGTTTAGGGTTTCATAAGTGTAGCCAACTCTTCCATAGTGCATTCATTCCTGCTGCTAGATTCTGACTACGCTTCCGCATGACGTTATAGCACTCTACAGTCGGTAGCAAAAATGCACAATTTAGGGAAGCAAGGTTCGGAATCGAACAGGAGGTGTGGTTCCGAACCTTCAAACCTGTTAGAGCAAATGTTTTTTTTTTTCCCGTGAAGTTCTGACAGCTCGGATACACCTTAGCAAAATCTAGCAGGTCGCCGCACTGTGCGCACAAAAGACAAACCATTTCTACTTGAATGTAAATCTCAATGGCCAACATTACCAATTGTACATTTCCACGAGGGCACCCATTGGTTTCCTCGAAATTGCGTTTTGGGGCAAACTGACCAAATTCTGGGGCAAAAAATAAAGCAGCAACTGAAAATGGTAGTTTTGAAACTAAACCGTCTGTTCTGGCCATCGCCTCCCATTGTTGGAAGATTTGCCCGTTGTTCAGTGTAACAACTGAAGTATTTCTCTACTTTTTTGTTAGTTTCAGGTTCGGAATGGGTTTCCTATGTTGTTTGATCAGTTCTGTTTACGTTCGGCATTTCAGTCAGTCGCACAACGGTCGCACACGATTTTCGCGATGCCGAACCACAAACGTAGTCAGTTGCGGGTCCCCCAACGGCCAAACTGACCAAATTTTGGGGGTTGTGAGTGCTACCGAACAGGGCCGTAGTGGGCGATGCCCCAAGGTATCCCACGATTTCGAACCCATTCCGGGGTTCGATTTTTTGGGATGTCAAAATGAAAATGACGGGAGGGAATCCTGCAGGGGCGAAAGGGGGGTTTCGGAAGATGCGAAAGGATAATTAATCACACACAAATACCACTCGTAAAACCCCTCTGTTTTTTCTCGGATTGCAACGTCACAAGAGTATCCTTATACCGCGTGCAAGGGGGCAGACTGCCAACGAACAACATGAATGAGGCGTATCGATCGTAGTCGCGATGCACTCTTGAGCGAATAAGCGGCCTTGCCGCCAACGCCTCTGACCACGTTGCACAGCACGGGCGGGGCGGGAACAGCGACCCAGTGTGGTTGAAAATGACCGCGCGGAACAGAGTGACGATTGCTCGGTCGACGCATTACTTTCGGCTCCTCATGCGCAGCCATCATTAGCTTCACGTGTAGCCTCGTGCGACTGCGTGCGGATCTTCGAGCGGAAGGACATTAGGGTCCCCGAAGCGCTCACCGGGAGACTCCAGTCAGCGCGTTCTTTTAGATGACGCAAAAGGTGGCGGAAGATTTAACCCTGCAGGGGGCGGGGGAGAGATATGGACGCGGAGGTTCAAGCGTCGGGGCGACTGATGAAGGGCGTCGCGCGGAGGAGCGTGACGAGGCGGCAGAACCTGGAAGGGAGGGGGGTGCGGGAGAGGCGTCGATGGGTGGCGCGGGGAGGGGGGGAAGGGGAGGGCGAGAAGGCGGAGGGCGGGGATGGCGGGAGGGCAGGGGAGGAGGAAGGAGGGCAGTATCGACGAAAACGGGTGGCGTTCATCTACGGCAATTACAAGCACTACTACGGCTACAGGGTAGGGGGACGGGGTAGGGGTGCAGGGTAGGGTGCAGGGTAGGGGTGCAGGGTACGGGGGACAGGGTAGGGGTGCCGGGGACAGGGTTCGGGGGACAGGGTTCGGGGGACAGGGTACAGGACATGGTACGGGGACAGACAGGGTATCGAGATAGGGTGTGGGGACTATGGGGACAGGGTATGGGGATAGGGTATGGGGATAGGGTATGGGGATAGGGTAGGGGGATAGGGTAGGGGGATAGGGTAGGGGGATAGGGTAGGGGGATAGGGTAGGGGGATAGGGTAGGGGGACAGGGTAGGGAGACAGGGTAGGGAGACAGGGTAGGGGGACAGGGTAGGGGGACAGGGTAGGGGGACAGGGTAGGGAGACAGGGTAGGGGGACAGGGTAGGGGGACAGGGTAGGGGGACAGGGTAGGGGGATAGGGTAGGGAGACAGGGTAGGGGGACAGGGTAGGGGGAAAGGGTAGGGAGACAGGGTAGGGGGACAGGGTAGGGGGACAGGGTAGGGGGACAGGGTAGGGGGACAGGGTAGGGAGACAGGTTAGGGGGACAGGGTAGGGGGACAGGGTAGGAGGACAGGGTACGGGGACAGGGTAGGGGGACAGGGTAGGGGGACAGGGTAGGGGGACAGGGTAGGGGGACAGGGTAGGGGGACAGGGTAGGGGGACAGGGTAGGGGGACAGGGTAGGGAGACAGGGTAATGGGACAGGGTAGGGGGACAGGGTAGGAGGACAGGGTAGGGCGGAGATCCTTCCACCATTCTCCTCCTTCAATCTCCTCCCTCTCCCTGCATTTCATCCTTCCCCTCCGCCTCTCTTCCCCCTCCTCCTCCCCTCGTCCCCTGAAGGTAGGAGCAGCGTTTGAGGAGGACCCGAGGGTGCGGTGGATGAGGCGGGATTGGTTTGACGGCCGTGACTGTGTGGACGTCGGCTGCAACTCTGGCTTCGTCTCCATCGGCCTCGGTGCCCTCCCACCCTCCCTACCTCCCGCCCTCCCACCCTCCCTACCTCCCGCCCTCCCACCCTCCCTACCTCCCGCCCTCCCACCCTCCCGCCCTCCCACCCTCCCGCCCTCCCACCCTCCCGCCCTCCCACCCTCCCGCCCTCCCACCCTCCCGCCCTCCCACCCTCCCGCCCTCCCACCCTCCCACCCTCCCACCCTCCCGCCCTCCCCCCTCCCACCCTCCCCACCCTCCCCCTCCCCTCCCCTCCCTCCCTCCCTCGCTCCCTCCCTCCCTCCCTCCCTCCCTCCCTCCCTCCCTCCCTCCCTCCCTCCCTCCCTCCCTCCCTCCCTCCCTCCCTCCCTCCCCACGTCCAACGCTCCCTCTCTCGCTGCACCTCCTTCTGCATTCGCACCTCCCTTCCCTGCCTCCACCCCTCCTCCATCCCTCGTTTGTGCCGCGCTGTTGTCATCACGACCTTCTGCGTTGTCGATATCCGAGCTCATCCAACACATGCATGCACATGCCTGTGTCCCGCCATCATGCCTCATCGCACTCCCCTCCATGTATGCACTTTATAACACCCAGCCCCCTCCCGCCTTCTCCCCAGCCTCCAACCTTTCCCTCCCCTCACCCTCTCGTCTCAGTCTCACCCGGTTCTCGCTGCCCTCTTCTCGCCCTCCGCGCTCCGTGTCCGCCACTCCCTCCACCGTTCTTTTGTGTGCGGCATGGCATGTGAAGCGCAGTGCGGCAGTTCAACGTCAAGTCCATGCTTGGCATCGACATCGATCAAGGTGCGTGCCATGCCCCGCTCTGCTATTCCATGCCATGTCATTCCATCCATGCCATGTCATTCCATTCCATCCATGCCATGTCATTCAAAGCCACGTCATTGCATGTCATCCCGTGCAACGCCGTGCCGTGCCATGCCATGCCATGTCATTCCTTGCCATGCCATGTCACGTGATTCCATTTTCATGCGGTGCCATGCCATGCCGTGCCATGTGATGTTATACTGGCTGGTGCATGGGAAGACGAAGAGCATGCTCCTTCAATGAAATTCCCTTCGCTCATCCTTTCACCTGCCTCCGTGTCGCCTCCTCATTTCTTTTCTGGCCTCCCAGATTTGATCAAGGAAGCAAGGAGGCAGTGGGGCAGCGTGGTGCGGGCAGAGAAGGAGAAGGAGAGGGAGGACAGGGAGAAGGGGGGGGGGAAGGAGAGGGACGAGAGTGAGAAGCAGCAATTGGAGTCACGGGATAGGCCAAGGGGCGAGAAGCGGGAGAGGCCGGATGATGGGGGGGCGGTGGGTGATCAGGCAGATGGGGCAAAGCGAGGTAGCGCTTCCACCTGCTGCGATGTTGCTGCTGCTCGGGACAATGGAGGCGCCATGCCCCTGGGGATGCCTGTTGAGATGCCCACCGGCATGGCCATGGGGATGGCGGCCACAGCAGGCAGAGCGGTGGAGCAGGCAGTAGCAGCAGCAGCACAGGCGGCAGGAGTAGCGGATGGGGCAGCGGATGGGGCAGCTGAGGGGGTGAGGAGGAGGGCAGGAGGGAGGCCGCGGGTGGCATTCAGATGCGTCAATGCGGCGGAGGAGGCACTCCCTGCTGCCAGTGCTGACACCATGCTGTGGTGAGATGAGATGGACGATGATGGTGAGATGGGTGCTGTGGTGAGATGAGGTGGGTGCTGTGGTGAGATGAGGTGGGTGCTGTGGTGAGATGAGGTGGGTGCTGTGGTGAGATGAGGTGGGTGCTGTGGTGAGATGAGGTGGGTGCTGTGGTGAGATGAGGTGGGTGCTCTGGTGAGATGAGGTGGGTGCTGTGGTGAGATGAGGTGGGTGCTCTGGTGAGATGAGGTGGGTGCTGTGGTGAGATGAGGTGGGTGCTCTGGTGAGATGAGGTGGGTGCTGTGGTGAGATGAGGTGGGTGCTGTGGTGAGATGAGGTGGGTGCTGTGGTGAGATGAGGTGGGTGCTCTGGTGAGATGGGGTGGGTGCTGTGGTGAGATGAGGTGGGTGCTCTGGTGAGATGAGGTGGGTGCTGTGGTGAGATGAGGTGGGTGCTCTGGTGAGATGAGGTGGGTGCTGTGGTGAGATGAGGTGGGTGCTCTGGTGAGATGAGGTGGGTGCTGTGGTGAGATGAGGTGGGTGCTCTGGTGAGATGAGGTGGGTGCTGTGGTGAGATGAGGTGGGTGCTGTGGTGAGATGAGGTGGGTGCTGTGGTGAGATGAGGTGGGTGCTGTGGTGAGATGAGGTGGGTGCTGTGGTGAGATGAGGTGGGTGCTCTGGTGAGATGAGGTGGGTGCTGTGGTGAGATGAGGCGGGTGCTCTGGTGAGATGAGGTGGGTGCTGTGGTGAGATGAGGTGGGTGCTCTGGTGAGATGAGGTGGGTGCTGTGGTGAGATGAGGTGGGTGCTCTGGTGAGATGAGGTGGGTGCTGTGGTGAGATGAGGTGGGTGCTCTGGTGAGATGAGGTGGGTGCTGTGGTGAGATGAGGTGGGTGCTCTGGTGAGATGCTCCCAGCAGGTCACATGTTCATGTTGGGCACGTATGGGAAACCTCCAGTTGAAGCAATGTGGTCGCTCCTCCTCCCATGTGCCCCCCCTCCACCCTTGGCAGTCTGAGTGTAACAAAGTGGGTGCACCTCAACTGGGGGGATGCCGGCCTCATCGCCTTCTTTGCCAACATCTTCCAAACTCTGCGCCCTGTAACACCCTCTCCTCTTCCACACACTGCGCCCTGTAACACCCTCTCCTCTTCCACACGCTGCGCCCTGTAACACCCTCTCCTCTTCCACACGCTGCGCCCTGTAACACCCTCTCCTCTTCCACACGCTGCGCCCTGTAACACCCTCTCCTCTTCCACACGCTGCGCCCTGTAACACCCTCTCCTCTTCCACACGGTGCGCCCTGTAACACCCTCTCCTCTTCCACACGCTGCGCCCTGTAACACCCTCTCCTCTTCCACACGCTGCGCCCTGTAACACCCTCTTCTTTTCCCTCTTACACTACCATGCCAATGTGCTCCTCCTCTCGTCCCTCGTTTCATCCTTTGGCTTGGCCACAGCCGCAAGCTGCCTGGCGTGCTGCATTGGATGTTGAGTGATGAAGAGCTTTGTGTATAGCAACCGGTTACTCTGTGCTGTCCTGTGGTGCTCTTCCACCCCTTTCCACACCTCTTCCATCCTCTGTTTGGCCACAAGCTGACTTTCTGCATCATCAACAGCTATGTGAATTGCTGTCCTGGGCCACGTTGTGCCGTGCTGCTATTCCACCCCTTTGCTCTTGCCCACCCACCCACACACTCCCACTCCCTCTCCTTCCCTCTCCCCCTCACTTCTCGTCCCGCCTGCAATAATGTGTCTGCCTTTGCCGGCAGGGAGGGGTGCTCATTCTCGAGCCACAGCCGTGGAGCTCGTACAAGAAGAAACAAGGGCTCACGCAGGTGCGTGCGTTCATGCACTCACTCACTCAAGTGCGTGCGTGCACCAAGGTTAAAAAATACGGTTTTCGTAAAATACAGTCCGTTTTTTACGGTCGTATTTTACGGTGATTTTTCAAAAACAGAGAACTCTGTTCACCAAGAAAAAAAAAAGGGAAAAACAAGGCCAAATACTTTTCAATCACGCCAACTCTGGTTCAATTTGGTCTCATAAAGTGGCTGTTTTGTCAATTAAACAGAAAACACCCCCTGGAACCCTTTTTAACGACCTTTTTTTACGATACCGTTTTTTACAGTGAAATTTCAAAATAAAACTGTCGTTTTTTTTACCCTGGCGTGCACGATGCATCAGAAATTTTCGTTACTTCTACTCTACCTCTGTGTTTTCACTTTCATCCCCATTGCTGCTGCCCCATCATGGCCTTCATTGCTGCTGCCCCACCCCGGCCGGCCATCAGGAGAGCAAGGAGCACTACAGCCGCATCAAGATCTTCCCCTCGCATTTTCGAGAGCTGCTCCTCGACAAGGTTGCTCGCTCTGTCCTTTGGCCTCTCTCTCGCACGAGAACGCATGCGCTTTGGCTGTGTGCTGTTTCCCAATAATCGTGCAGTCCATATATATTGTGCTGCCATGCTTGCTGCGCCTGCACTGCTGCCTCTCAGTCTGATGTCTGTGTTCGCCCTGCACCCCCTGCGCTGCTGCATGCTGAGCAGATTGGCTTCCAGCGCGTGGAGGAGCTCACTACTGCAGTCTCAGCCACCCGTGGCTTTGACAGGCCCCTCTTTGCATACTACAAGTAGATCACCGATATACGATACCCTCTTTCATGACTGCACTCTATAGAGCCCTTGCTTGAACCCAACGAAAGAGCCCTGGCATCACAACAGTTGTTTCAGACAAGATTAAATGTACCATCATACACCGGAAAAAGGCACTGAAACAACAAGAATGACGGTCTCATAGTGGCATTTATCGGTATGAGTTGGACTACGAACAATGAGATACAAGTAGGAAATCTTAGATGCGTTGTATTGTACCCTCTAAAGAGCACCACACTGTAGTACCTAGGCTAAGTGAGGGGCTCACATGTGCAAGAGAAACAACTCAATGCAAATCAACTAGTCTAGCCATTGAGACAGGTCACAAGACCAGTCAAGCAAAGCAACAAGACAGTTGGGCTGAGACAAAGCCTTAGGGTACATTCCGCTGTGGACACTGTCCCAATCGATGTGTCCCAACCAATCGAGTGTACCGCTGCGAACCGAACTAAACCAGAGACGCGAAAATTTCGAAACTAGGGTGCAATTTCGTGTAATACGATGCAGTGTGGTAGAAACGATTGAGACACTTTCGATTGGGACATGTCCAGCGCGGAATGTACCCTTAGAATCCTTTAGAGTTTAGTCCTTATAACATAAAGTAGCGGAAGACTTGAATTTCTGTGCTGGTTGAAAGTGAGAACAATTGATCACCCGTATGTAAACGCAGGCCTATGAAAAGCGCATGCTTGGAGCACTGCGCTTATGCCCGATCCTCAATTATATGTTAGAATCAGGAACTAGGTGCTAGTAACTAGTGTCAGAATCTGTCAGAATCCCAACCACTAGACCATTGGGATAAAAGGGCTTGTTTCAGTAGCGGGTCAGTGCGCCCATAACCCCCCAGGCAAACGCGCCTGTAACCCCCCTTAGGATCGATCGGAGATCTCACAGTGTAGCTCTACTGACACCCCCCAACACTGGGAGGCCCAGGACTGAGCACAGTGGCAATGGCCAACATGTTCATACACCGGGATTCGAACCCGAGACCGCTCTGATACCATGTCAGAATCCCAACCACTAGCCCATTGGGATAAAAGGGCTTTTTTCAGTAGCGGGTCAGTGCGCCCATAACCCCCCAGGCGAACGCGCCTGTAACCCTCTCCAGGATCAATCGGGCATCCACAGTGCAGTTCTACTGACATCCCCCCACACTGGGAGGCCCAGGACTAAGCACAGCGGCACCGGCCTACATGTGCATACACCGGGAATCGAACTCGAGACCGCTCTGATACCATGTCGGAATCCCAACCACTAGACCACTGGGATAAAAGGGCTTGTTTCAGTAGCGGGTTAGTGCGCCCATAACCCCCCAGACAAACGCGCCTGTAACCCCCCCTAGGATCGATCGGGGATCTCACAGTGTAGCTCTACTGACAGAATCAACTGTGCATGAATAATTGCATTAGCAAGAAATGGGGTACAAGTATCAACCCTAGAATTGCTGTGCCCCATAAGGAGTGCCCCACTATAGCCTACAAGTAAGATTATACTTTGACACACCCCCATAGGCTAAGTGGGGGACAACAAGAGGGTCACAAGACCAGTCAAGCAAGACATCAGAGCAAAGAAAAGCAAAACTCAGGATGGATCTCAAGGACACCACGCAATCCTGTTGAAATGAAAGAACAGGAATAATTGAACTAACAGTGAAATCACTACAAGTACCTAACCCTAGAATTGTGTACCCCCTATAGGCTAACCCACTGTAGCCTAAACAAGCACAACATATATAATGTTTGACACACCCCCATAGGCGAAGTGGGGGAGAACTAGGGGTCACAAGACCAGTCAAGTAAAGCAAAGCACAGCAAGCTCAGGGTGGATCACAAAGTCACCACACATTGCGAGCACAAGTTCAAGGCCACAAGGCCAGTTCACATGCAGGAGTACATATATATATATAAGGCTAGACAAGCAAGAGCAGGTATATATATATGTAACAGTACAAGCAAGGTCAAGAGGTGAGCAAGTGAGGCAAGACAGGTACAAGACCCACCTGGGTGCAAAAGCGCTGATGATCACAAGGCGCAAGTGCCTTGGTGAAGACATCAGCAGTGTTGGCCTCAGAGGCCACGTACGCAAGCCGCAACTGACCACGCTGCTGTAGCTCACGAGCAAGGAAGTAGCGGAGAGCAATGTGCTTTGTTCTGTGCTCCAGTCTCTGCTCTCGACACAAGGCCAGCATGGCCTTGTTGTCTACGTACAGCACTGGAGGAGAACGAGGCGGCTCTCCAAGGTCGGTCAGCAGATAGGTGAGCCAGCGAAACTCCTGAGTAGCCATGGCCCCTGCGTAGATCTCAGCCTCACAACTGGAGCCGAGAACAGAAGACGAGCGAGTAGCCCGCCATGAAACAGAACCGGAACCAAGGCTGAAGGTGTAACCCTGTGACGATCGCTGCGTGGCCTGGTTGTCAGCCCAAGAAGCGTCTGCGTCACCATTGAGGACCACTGGACTCTGCCCTCCAAGCACTAGCCCCATGCCCGACGTACTGCACAAGTAGCGCAACACCCTCTTCGCTGCAGCCATGTGCTCTGGTCGGTGTCTCCCAGGAGCAACATAGCGTGCGAGAATGCTAAGAGGGTATGCAAGGTCACGTCGTGTGCAGGTCATCAGGTACATGAGGCAGCCAACAAGCTCTGGATACGGGCCACTCGACTCTACGGACTCATCCGAAGGCAGAGCTGAGAGCGAGTGGCGAGTAGGCAGAGGAGTGGCCTGAGGCGAGGAGTACGTGAAGCCGAAGCGCTGAAGGACATGCTGCACCATGTGTGACTGAGTTAGGGTAATGGTGCGGCGTGCTCTGTCCCGGGTGATCTGCAAGCCAAGGTAGCTGCGCAGTTCACCCAGGTCTGTGCACATGTGTCTCTTCTGCAGCTCGAACTTCACGTAGGCGAGTCCAGCAGTGTCAGCTGTGGCAAAGACCAAGTCGTCGACGTACACGAGGATGTAGAACGGCAGCAGAGAAGTGTCGGTGCGTAGAAACAGCGACGGGTCGGCAGTAGAGGGAGAAAACCCAAGAGCCACAAGCGTAGTCCTCAGTGTGTCGTGCCACTCACGCGGTGCCTGGCAGAGACCGTAGACTGGCCGCCGGAGGCTCCACTGGGTGCCAGGAGGAAAAGTCCTAGTGAAGCCAAGTGGACGGCGCAGCCAGATCTCCTCGTGCAGGCTGCCCTGCAGGAAAGCAGTGCTGAAGTCAAGAGAGTGTAGCTCGTAGTCACCGTGAGCAGCTACGTGCAGCAGTACCCGAAGAGTGGTCATCTTCGGGGTGGGAGAGAAGGTCTGAAAGTAGTCAACTCCCTGTCGCTGACTGAAGCCACGAGCCACGTAACGCGCCTTGAAGACAGGAGAACCCTGCGGCTGCTTCACCCTGAAAATCCACATGCCACTGACGATGTTCGCCCCAGGAGGGGGGACAGCGTCAATGAAGGTGCCTCTGGACTTCCAGGAAGCCATCTCTGCATCCATAGCTGCCTGCCACTGAGAAGAGTAGGGACCCTCTATCGCCTCCGCGTAAGAGCGCGAAGTCGGGATGTCAAGTGCATCCGGGTCTCCCTCAGGGGTAAGCAGTACGGACACGAGATGAGGTGAAGCAGCGGCCAAGCACTGGAACTCCTCCTACTTGTCCTCAAGGACGTCCGTGCCAAGGGCACACTCACCCTCGACGGACGGAGGACAGACAGACTCAGACTCAGCGACAAGACTAGCAGCGTAGTCTAGACGACAGCGAGCAGCAAAGTCGACGAGCTCAGCAACTAGGGCAGACGCAACAGTGGACTCAAAGGAGGGGTCAGTGACGACAGTAGCAAGGAGATGCGTGACAGTAGGACTAGCAGCACGAAGAGAGTCCGACTCCGGGTCGGGAAGAGCAGAAAGAGAGGACTCAAGAGGAGAAGGCAAAGGGGCACGCAGAGGAGCAGAGGATGGACACAGAGACATCCGGTGCGTCCCAGGGACAGGAGGAGGACGCTGACGCGAACAGCAACCACTAGTGCGAGCAGTACGGACAGGCGACGTAGGGCGAGACGCAGGCTCACGACGCTCAGCAAGACTTCCAGTAGGACCCGTGTAGGGAGAAGAAGCAGGCAGTGGGGAGGCGGGCTCTAACTGTAACTCTGACTGGACAGGCTATGGACACTCTAAGGAAGGAGGAGGACCGAGAGAAGGCGGGAGACCAAGAACCTGCTGAAGGAGCGGTACGAAGTACGGCCGCTGCCGCGGGGCGACTCCAGAACCAGCAGAGACACCAGCGCCAGGGTCCTCCGCACCAGCAGCAGCTCCAACGCACGACTCCACAGCACCAGCAGCAGCACCAGCTCCAGGATCCTCAGCACCAGGCTCCAACGCCCGGGTCCTCAGTACCAGCAGCAGCTCCAACGCCCGGGTCCTCAGCACCAGCAGCAGCACCAGCGCCCGGGTCTGCAGCACCAGCCGTAGCTCCAACGCCTGGGTCCGCAGCACCAGAAATAGCTCCAACCTCTGGGGCCGCAGCACCAGCAGAACCAGTAGAGTCTCCAGCACCAGCAGCACCACCAGCAGCAGCGGGGTCCGCGACACCAGGCGCGCCACTCCGAAGAGTGCAGCGCCTCTCGTACCACTCACGGATCCGCTCACGGGAGGGGAGCTCCCGGCTAGGAGGAGAAGCACTAGCACCAGTCCCAGTAGTACGCCTGGCTCCAGAGGTACCTCTCCTGAGGCTGCAGTACTGGAAGTACCACTCAAGTAGCTGCTCCGAGGAGAGGGCTCCGCCAGGTGTAGGACCCTCAGGCTCAGGACCTCCAGACTCAGAACCCCCAGACTCCGGACTCTGCGGCTCAGCACCCCCAGGCTCAGTACTCCCAGGCTCAGCACCCCTAGGCTCCGCACCCCAAGGCTCAGCACCCCCAGGCTCCGCAATCCCAGGCTCCGCACCCCCAGGCTCCGCACCCCTAGGCTCCGCACCCCCAGGCTCAGCACCCCCAGGCTCCGCAACCCCAGGCTC